ATTCTCGATCATCTTACTTCAGCCCGAGTGCTGGGATTATAGTTGTACACCACTACACCCAGCTGAACTGATTTTTTTTGTTCTAGTAGTGTTAGTGGTGGGGACCAAACCCAGGGCCTCTTGCCTGTTAGGTCTGCCATTGAGCTACACCCCCAACACCCACAAAGTTCATTCTTTAGGAACTAGCTTTATAGGCCTAAGGCAACAGGAGATAGATACCACTATGGCCTCCATGTTAGACAGTGACACCTGTGCCTCATAAGAAAGAGGTGGTGCGATTTGACTAGTGCTCTCTGTCACTTTGCTTTATTCATTTTAGTAACTTAGAGGACCTCCTCTGTGCTTAGGTGCAACAGTCATGGTTTCTGCCCTCCTGAAACTGAAAAGCGTGCTGCTGCCATGTCTGGGAGCTGTAAAAGGACTGTCTCTGGCTGTGCTTTCTGGGAAGTTTCTGTGCTCAAGGATTTTGTTAAGTGCTTCAAAGAAGACTCATCTTGGGCATGAGTCAGGAGCCCACAGCCCCGGCCTGGTAGCTTTAGCTGTTCCTGCTCTGTTTTCAGATTCATAAGTCAGCCCAACAGTCAGCATGGCCTCTGTTTCTCTGTGTGCTTACCTCTACTTCTTGGATTGTGCTTATGTAGGGATTTTCTTTTCAAAGCTGTCAGATGCATTTCCTACTTTGCTACCACAAGATCCTGGCTGACGTCCCCAGCAGTGTTTGCATAGCTACCTCCTGTGCAGGTAGGGCCAGAGAGGCCTCAGCAATGGCTTGAAGCTTGGGTGGCATGAAGCTTGGTGGTGAGTCTCAACCAGAGAGCAGGGTCTGCAGCTGCCAGCCCCTCTGATCTAAAAAGAGATGGGGTAGGTCGGTGGAAAGCGCTTGTAAGCCCTCACACTGAGAGGAGGCTTCTGGTCCCAATCCAGCAGAAGACTGAGAGAGGCAGAACTGGCGAGCTCACCAAATACTCCTAACAAGGTTCCATGCTTTGTGGTCTCAGACATCCTCCACGTCTCATTGGGTCCTCATCTGAATCTTTGAAGCATGCCATACACCCTCTGTTATAGAAAGGACTATGAGGCTCACATTAACCAAGTGACCATAGCAGTTCAGGGACAGAGCCAGACCTAGAGGCCCGGCTACCTAAGACTCGCACTCTTGAACCTGTGGCTTCATGCCTTATGGCAACTGAGAGACACTGGCCCAGAAAAGGCACTCCCCTCTGCAGTACACCTTGTCAGTGCCGTGGCGGCCCTTCTAATGGAACAACATTGAGGGGGTGATGAGTGAGTTAGGGCTGTGCTGCAGACTGAACTGTGTTCTCTCCAAATCCATACATTAAAGCCCCAAATCCTGGTGTGACTGCATTTGGAGATAAGGCTTTTAGGAGTAAATTCAGTTATGTGAAGTCATAAGGGTGTGGTCTTAATCCAATAAGATGGTCTTATTATAAGAAGAGAGCTGTCTCTCTCTCTCCACATGCACTAAACCAAGTAAAGATCACATGACAATAATGCAGCCATCTGCAAGCCACAGAGAGGGTCTTCACCACAGCCTGACCTCAGACTGCCAGCCTGCAGAGGCATAGGAAGTAAATGTCTGTTGTTTCAGCCCCCAACCTGTGGTATCATCCCTCTCTCAACCCTCACCAATGACATAAAGAAAGAAGTGGTAAGTCACCCAGGCACTTGGATAACAGATACATTTCCTTGTGATTGTGGCCTCTGAGCCACAAAAAGAGTACCAAAAGAGGAGCCTGTGCTGCCCATGGTCCTCACTCCAGAGCAGGATGGAGAATGGTCCCAAAAAAGCCTTCGGGTACTGTTGTGTTCCAGTATAGCCAAATGGTTTCCATATGACTTTTCTCAGATTCAAAATGTAGGAATCTTATCTCCAGTGAGAAGGAATGTATTTAACGATCCAGCATTCCTAGTCATGTTGTCTTTCTTTATCGGGGTACATGGTGGCACTTGTATGTTCACTTTGTGAAAAATTGAGCTGTCCACTATTGTGCGCACGCATGCACGTGTGTGTGTGTGCATTATACAGCAACAAAAAAATTTTACTTTTTAAAGACATTGACCACCTTAACACCCAGAGCAAATTGAGCAATTTGCTAAGAGTCAGTCATTTAGCTAATTGGAGAGTGAAGGCAGTCACCCGGACCTCCTAGCTCCTTGGTTAGCCTCTATTTAGAACTGTACCTGAGGTCAAGGTCACTTTGGCCTCTTTTGATCTGAATGTTGCTGTAAATTCCCTTGGTTTTCTTGGAGCCCTGCTTTGCCTCAGAAAGTGGGCAATGTATTTGAAAGGCGGTTTCCCATTGTTATTGAGGACACACCTGTTCCCTACTTGCTGTCTCTGGCTGATGACTGGCCACCAAAGAAATAGACAGTCAGGCTAGGCCCTCTCCCTGGTACAGTGCTTTGGAAGGAGGCTCTGTGGGAAGCCCCTTTATTCTTGTGTTGGCCTGTGTGCCCTGGCAGATGAGACAGGTGGTCTGGCCAGTCTCGGGGTTGTGCCCACCTTTAGGACTTCCCTGCTTTGTCTGGACAAAGGTGACAAACTAACAGCTACTGACTTAGTTGCAGCTCCCTCAGGAAGGCACAGGGAAGGCCATGTTGTAAGTCTGAGATGACTGATCACCCACATTACATTTATTCAGCAAGATTCTTGTGTCCCATGATGACTCTGGTAACTTCCTACTGACTTTGGAAAGCTTGAAGGGCCATCTAGGACGACATTTGACAATCTAAGGCCTAGGAGTGAGTAACCAGATGAAATAAAACTGAGTCTTGCCTCATTCCCCATCTGTCAGGTGTTTCTAGGCCATTCTGTCCTGGTGCTTGAAGTCCTAAGCAGCAGAGTCAAGAGATTTGCATTCCAGCTGGGCTTCCCTGCCCTGAGGAGTGTGCTCAGCCTAATTCAGCTGACATGTTTGTGTAATCCACCTGCCCCTGCTCTGTGCACAAACCCACCTGAATTAGCCCGCCAGCTGTCAGTGCTATATAGGTTGGCCCCTTCGTGGACCTCATGATCACCTCCCCCCACAGTGTCTGAAATGTAGTCCAAAGGACATTAACCTGTCAGATATCCCACTGTGGCTCACAGTCATGTGCCAGTCGTGAGCCAGGTCTCACCAGCCCTCACAGACTCCTTACCTATAACCTGGTTAGGTCATAGTCGGTCCTGTGATTAGAAGTCTAGCCCAAGGTAACCAAGCTGCCTATACCCATTGCATCTTCTGAAGTCCACAGACCTAAAAGTAGTAGCCTCTGATAGGTCATCTCTCTACACTGCTGGTGATCTCTGTAAATTCACTCTGTTAACAGACAATGGATCAACTCTGTTCCTTGAGGGACCTCAAATCCCTACGGGGCTCTGCTTCAGGAGACTGGGTGCAGTAAGCCCTGGTGAAGCTCTTGTGCTTGTACTAATTTACCAGGAACAAGGAGTCGAAATCTTTGAGTTAACATTGTGCCTGTGCCAGCCAGATTAGCCAGTTTAATATTTTTTCAATTAGCAAATCTTCCAATAATAGCATTTTAACAATGAAGTTTCAAAGAAAAAACTTGTTCTTAATTTTTTTTTTTTTTTTTTGTCTAAAGAGGGAAAGAAAGACTTCTGTAATGGTCTCATTATAAATTTTGAAGAGGTGAGCAGTTGGCTGTGTTACAAAATATCTAGCTAATAATTAAAATAAAGATTTAAGCAAATGTTTTATCAGCGATAAGGTACATTTTTCTCAGCCAGTGTCAGAAATGACAGCAGAGAGCCATGTGTGGAATTGTCACAGTGCAAGTCTTTAAAATTCCTTTTGGATTTGAAGGTATTAACAAGTCCCTATCAACATTCTCTTAAGGTTTTTGATGTCATTTTAGCTATTGAACGAAAATATGTGAACTATTACTTTGTTGATTTTGTTCTTAAACCAAACTGCATTATCATCTGAGAATGTGTTCTTAAAGTATTGTTAAAAGTACTTTGAAAACTTGTAAATCCCTGTAATTTATGTTTCTCCTGCCTCTGCTGTTTCATTCCATCCTTCTGGTTTTAATTTGAATGCAGTCCTGTCTGGGTGTGTACCTGTAAAATTGTGTTTTTCCAAGTACAATTTACAGTCCTGACCTTAGGTTTTACAGTGCTCCTAACCTTCTCAGAGCTTCCTCCTGTACTGTGAAGTGGGCTCTGGGTCACCCAGCTCTTTCATATTAGAACTGTCTATAATCAAAGTTACTTGAAACAGATCTGATTTTGACATTTCTTAGTTTATCATCAGGCCTGGGGAGTAAATTAGGAGGCCTTCCCTGCAAGCCCATTAATTGTGTTGCCCTATTTCTTAAAATGTACACAGTTGTAAACCTAGACTGCTTCAAGACTACAGTCTGGTTTATCTAAACAATTCTCCTTTTAGATTCAATGCCACTGATGGAAACAAAGATAAGTATAGATGGAGGAAGGATCTTTTGGAGTGTGTGTGTGCTGGCTGAAACCATTCCATTCCCTCACAGGCCGTCCTTCTCTTTCTAGGACTGGCCTACATACGGAATCCATCTAGCTGCACACAGGGTGTCCAGTGAGCGAGGCTAGGGAGGCTGAGTGGGCAGGGCCAGCGCGCAGAGAGGATCTTACTTTCTTGAGAGTGACTGCAGGTTTTAAGGACAGGGCCACTGTGCTCCCCGGGGGTGGGGGAGCTTTGTTAAAGCGGTGTGAAATCCGAATCTGTTCCATAGACACCCCTGTCTATGGAAGCCACTCTCCATCCTGGACTCTAATAATTTTGAAATGGCTGCGGGACTTTTGAGATCTTTTCTTTAAGTTGGAAAATGAGTTTTGGGTTTGTTTTTTTTTTTTTCCTGCTCTTTTTTAAACCACTTAAATTAAGCTTTGTGAAGGAGCCAGAAGCCTTTGTCTTTCTTCGCACTCCTCGGCATGTTCCCTGTGGCTCTGCCCAATACTGGGCCTTGGGCAGCTAGCTGACCGTGCTCCTCCTCGGTTGCAGGTGATCGTGCAGTCAGGCCGCCACCCTACTGTGCTGCAGAAGCTGTGCCAGCTGCCCTTCCAGTATTTCAGCGACCCACGGCTCATCAAAGTGCTGTTCCCTTCGCTGATCGCCGCCTGTTACAACAACCGTCAGAACAAGGTCATCCTAGAACAGGAGATGAGCTGCGTCTTACTGGCCACCTTCATTCAGGTACCTCCCTCCATCAGGCCTTATTCTCTGCCTAACCCTGAACCCTAACCCTGTCTTAAGAACTTTACACTCTGTGCTTACAAATTAATTTCAGAAGTGTCAGGATAGTTTCTAAAATCTCATTAATAGAATTGGAGTTGAGTATTACATAAATTCTACCTGGAGGTTTTCAAGGAAAGGATGTTTTTGCCGTTGATGAGATGGAAACTCACACTCAAGAAATGTGTTTAAAAACCACGGGACTTCTGTAAGGCTTTGGCGGTCATGCTTATCTTGCTTTTAGTCTAGCAGGGGACTGGATAATGACGATGAAGAAAGATCAATTAAAACTTCAATTTATTTAGCTGAATTTAAGTTTTAAATAAATATGATTCTCGCATGTACACAGATAGGGGATAAAAACCTGACTTTTTAAATCTCCAGCTTTTAAATGCAGCCTCATATTTGTCTGATATGGTTAAATTTGGTAGGGCCGGAATCAGAATTAGTAACAACTAAGTGAACTCAGTCAGCTGACAATAGAAAAATCAAGTTGACTGTTCTAAAGTTATGAGTTTTTTGTTATTGTAGATCTTTATTTTCTGAAAAATCCTCACTTTCTTTCTAATGTTGCTGTATAACATCTGTCCTTGGCACACGTGAGATTGGGAACAGTGCTTTCTATCCATCATAGTGAAAGAGAAAGCAGAATTCTGTGCCGGGTGGGTCCTCATTCCAGCTAATGCAGACACCAGTCCACATGGTAGGATCGTGCCCAGCTGGGTGGGAGCCATGGGAACAGTTAGAGTTCTCCCAGCCTTCTGTACCTTACACAATTTCTAAGCCCCTCTCTACGAAACGCAACCAGGTCAATTATACTTAGAAGTGTTTTAGTCTCAGGTTAGTTGTTGCATTCAAGTCTGAGTTCCCGTTTCTGAAAATGTTGTCAAGTTGGATATTCAGATCTATAAGTATGGACTTTCAAACTGTCTTCTGTTAAATTAAAATCTTAATAAAAGTACATAACCACCATATCAACACAAGGTTCTTCACGTAATCTTAGAGCCTTAGAATTAAATTAAATAGAAAATACATTATAGAGAATCTTAAGACTGTGCTCCTTTTCATTCAGGTTTCTACGTGTTTGCAGTCAGCAGGTAATTTTTGAGTGTGTACCATGTGCCAGGCACTGGGAATATAGCAATGAATAAAACAGATTAAAATCCATGCCTCCGAGACCTGTCATTAAACAAGAACAACAAAACATAAAACAAACATCGGGTCAGGTGGTGTAAGTGCTGTGGAGAGAAGTGAGGCAGGAGCGAGAGGGCCTTGGGGCAGTGACTGCAGCTTTCTGTCACAAGAGCAGAGGCCTCAGCTGAGACAGGGACAGGGAGCATGGAAGTTTGTATTTGCCAGCTTAGTTCCTTACATTTCCAAATGCTTGAAAAACAACTTATAAAAAATACAAATGATAGCACTCAGGAGGCGGGGGCGGGAGGACCTGGCAGTAGTCTAGGCTACGTAGCCAGACCCTGTCTCAAAAAAACAAGCAAGCAAAATTGCAAATAAGAATCTCAAGTAAAGATCGTGTACATTTCCTATTTTCATCCATTACTGACCACAGAATACTTCTAATTCTCCCTTTCTCTATTCCAAAAAAACCAAAAAACTATATTTAACATACAGATTTTGTAAATGCTACAGAAATTTCTTAGATTGCTTATTTGGGATAGTATATTAGGCTAGGGAGGTAGAATCAGGTTTTCCTTTTCTATAAATAACTGTGCTCAAGGGGATAGAGCTACACATTAAATTTTAGTTTATAAAGTGGTTGTTAAGGCCTTCATGAATAAGATTGTTGACAGTCACTAGAAAATGGTAGAAGATGGGAACTGATCGTTTTCATAGATTTCTAAATGTTATATATGGTTGTCTGCGTTTTTCAGTTACTATCTACAGGTAAAATGATCAGACTTTGAGGTGTAGCTGTAGAAATTCCTGTAAGACCTGTTATATTGGTACTTTTTAAAAATCTTGCCAGGCATGGTGGTATACATCTGTAATCCCAGCAGCACTCCAGAGACTGAAGAAGGAGGATCTTTAGTTCAAGGCTTGACTGGACTATATAGTTAAATCCTATCTCAAAACAAACAAAAAAATCTGTCGATATTGTGAGAGAGTAAGTTTGGCTTAAGATTTAGGTTTATTAGGTATAAAATAAAGTGGTAGTTTCCAAAGTAGGCAGCAACATAGCTCTGGCAATATTAGGAAGATTTAAGTCACCACTATTTGGTTTAAATTTATGAGAACATGAACTACAAAACATCACTTTCTTTAGATTTTATATTTGGGCTCCAGATCATTCCTGCAAAAGTGGGTGCATGAATGAGAGGCATATGTAAAGCTGCTCATAGCGAGGCTGCCTGTGCAGAGCACGGTATAAACACACTTCTCTCCTCACGCAGGATTTTGCACAGACTCCAGGTCAGCCAGATAACCAGTCTTACCAGCCCAAAGGTATGTCTCTATTGAACCTGAAATATATGTGTTTGTTAGCCAGATGTTCAGGTTTCACCCCCTTTTCTGGAACTGTTAGAGAAACTTAGTCACCTAAAATATTTGAGGTTCAGATACCACCTACATCAGTGAATAAAGAAATCTATGATGTCAGGAAGCCCAAGTGTGTCAGTAGGCCGAGAAGGCCATGGATGCAATGAAAGCACAAAGCAATGTGTTCTTACCTCATGCAAGGTATAGCAAATGGTGATAAGGAAGACCTATCACAAAGGCCTTACCCACATAAATGCTAAGGTGGAGTCTGGTCCCTGCTCATGTCCAGAATGAAGTAGTCCATATTTCCCCCTTAAATTCAAGTATTTGAACTTTTTGTTGAAAATAATTGTTTTACATGGAGAAAAAAGACATCAAATTTGAAGAGATTGGCAAGTGATTTACAAGCTCTTTTTCCAGTCATTCCTACTGAGGTGTCTCCTATGATAAGAACTGGAGATATAGAAGGTAGACTGTTCCTTTCCATTTTTAAATATTCTACTCAGATTGTCACTGAGAAATGCAGTTTGGCTTTGGCTGTCATGGTGGCATCTCTGATTGAGACTCTGGTCCAGATTTTCCCCAGTTCTTCCATTGTTCCATAGTCTTTCAGTCATACTTACTCAGACTCATTCCCAACAGGACCCTCTGGGGTTCCTGCCAAGAAGCCCTTACTTCTTGGTTCTGTCACACACACACGCACACAAGTCATCTACAGTGGGCAGGTGTTGGAAAGTATATAGAAGAAAATACAACTAAACTGTTCCGGAACTATGAAGATATGCATGTTTTATTGACTCAGACACTCAGGAAAGTAAACAGAAAGCTATGCATCTGTTCAGAAATCCGAGTCAACAGCACAGTTGGTGCCACTCGCCTGAGCCAGATTAGCGTGCAAGTTCAGGTCCGCCCTGACTCACTTGCAGCCTTTTTTTTTTTTTAAAGTTTTAAAGGACACTTGGGAGAAAGCAACATAATTTGTTAGTATTTCTTGCAAAACAATTGTTTAAATTTTGAATATATGAAAATACTTTGAAAAAAATCTTCTAATGTAATTATTTTTAATTGAGCAGCAGTATTGTTGCCAGTGAGATGTGTAGACATGCCTTCTTCCTCTTTCTCCTGCCCAAAAAAAGATGAGTGGCCCCTTGCTGCATTTCTGGAAGGCACAGTTCCAGGAGCTCCTCCATCTGCTTGTGGGCTGAGGCCTGTGGAGTCTCCGCCTTCTTTCTTTCTCAAGGGACCATTCTCTCGGCTGTCCATGCTTTCCTGGGTTATAGCAGGCTTCCCCACAGAGCAGTAACTGGGCAGTTCGTCTCTGTTTTGCTCCAAAAGAGTCAAGGCCATGTCAGTGACAGCCCATAATGCCTGCTTGATTTAAAGAAAGATGCTGCCTTACCCACTAGGCACTTTGCACCTTGCTCCCTTTTTGATGAGGTTAAGTCCCATCAAACATCTCGAGATGTTTGTGGTTCATCACCCAGGTAAACCGCCTAGGAGTGGAAGCCGCTCCTGCGAGCACCACAATGGCTTCAGTTACCCACTGCAGATGGCTGCTTAGGGTGGAGACCGACCAAACACCAGATTTAAGCAATTTTAAATTTATACTTAAACTGAATTCATGTTTTAAATTAAATAGACTATTTTAGAAAACAAGTGTCACCATTTGGGCTGGGTCTAAGAGGCAGAGCTCACCCTTAGCGTGTACCAGGCCCTGGGCTCCATTCCCAGCGTCCAAAAAAGTCACTATTTACAAACAGATTACCCTCTCAAGACTAACTTAAAGGTAGAATGTGTGGACATTTTATTTTGTGTTTTATATACATATCATATACATAAATGTATACATACACACATTTATATGTATTATATACATACATATGTACATACATATATATATTTTACTGTATTACTCACTATATGTAATATATACACATGTGTTGTGTGTGTTATTTCCTTATTCTGTAGTCCAGAAACATTGTTTCATAATATTTTACATGCAGTCTGAATGTGGCAGAAGCACACACTGAACTGTGGTAAAAATATTTATTGTCTATTTATGCTACAGGTAAATTTATGTAAAATGTATCATGGTTTATTTGAAGTGTATGACTCCATTTTGTGCTCAGATATCAAAATAAGTTTAATTTCTTACACTTCAAAGAATTGAACTCTTTAATTATCTGTTTTGTTCCTGTCAGGAAAGTACCCTGATCCTCAAGACTACCTTGAGCTGGCTAACAGATTTCCTCAGCAGGCCTGGGAAGAAGCTCGACAGTTTTTCTTGAAAAAAGAGAAAAAATGAATTTTGTAACTGGTTCTGTATTTGAGTGCCCTTGTTGCTATTTTGAGTCCTTCAGTTTGTTCTTGTAATAAAATAACTTATTCTGTTTTCAGTGTTGACTTTTCGTGTTAAGGCAACATAGATTTCAGAGACAGATATTAATCCCAACTCCTGAAGCGTCTTAATTAAAGGGTGATTAAAGCTTGCTGCTGTGGATCTCTAAGGCTTGGGTGTAGCGACAGCGCTTGCGCGCGAATTCGGGGCACTGTGCACCGAAGGCCCCCTCGTTAGCACCGCTGGACTGAAATTATTCCCCAGCGTAAAAACGAGTGCTGCAAAGCCATCGGGCACCCCGGAGCATTTTCTCAAATAATCGTGAAATGAAGCAACGTGGAAGTAAAACTAAAACTAAGGGTCACAGTGGCTCCGAGCGCATATGAAAGCACTGTGCCCGCGTCTGTTGGAGATGTTGACCTTTCCATGTCGCCTCTCCACCTTAAGCCGACGGCAGCGCTAAGCCCTTCCCTGAGTGACACTGGTAATAACTGCGGTCCGACAAGGATCAGCATTACCTGGAAAAGCGTCGGAAATTCCCAAGACTACCGAGGGGATCTGGGAAAACAAACTTACCCAGAACTCCAGGCGCTGCTTTTCGGAACCCCGCGGCGTTGAGGGGTTCGGTGGGTGCCCTTCGCTTCTTTCCAAATGGAGATGAACAGAAGGTCCCGGCCGCAGGGCGGGGACCGCGGCCGGGGGCTCCGAGGCGGGGGCTCGGCTCGGTCCCGAGCTGGCGCGGGTGACCGGTCCGGGCCCGGGCAGGTGGCGGCGGGCGGGTGGCCCGGAGACGACTCCCATCCCGCGCTCGGGCGTGGCGCAGGATCCCTGGCTGAAGGGAATCATCAGATATTTACAAGATTTCCTGCAAGGCGCTTCGCAAGAGAGTAGGCTTCTTATCTGGTCGGAAATTTGCCAAAAAGCCATAAATAATTGGGACAGCTGTGATTAACCTCCCAGAAACCTGTCCAGAATTCGCAATTAAACGTTGCACTGAACGTCGCGTTGTCCCTCTGTCCCGGCGGTGACGGGGCTTGAGAGAGGCAATCCTCTCCCTCCCCACACCCCAGCGGGGACTGCGAGGGTGGCCCGGGGAGCCTCGGTGTCCCCGAGCTGGCGGCCTGGCTTCTGAGGTCGCCCACGGCAGGGACAGCGCGACGCCCAGGTGAGCGCGGGCGCGGCTTCTTCCAAGTTGCGGGGCGCAGAGCCAGGGGTCCCCGCAGGTTTCCGCCCCGCCCCCCCGCACCCGGCCAGGGACCACACGCATCCCGGCGGTCCCCAGGGAGGCGCTGGGCCAAGGCCAGGGTCGAGGCCTCCGCTGGGTCGGGTCAGTGAAGTCGCCGGTGTGACTGAGCCCGGAAGGAACAGCGCTGAGCTTTGGAGCCCAGAATCCGAGCCAAACTGGGAGAGGCCGCCCACGGCCCTGGGAGCAGCGACATTCGAACCCCAACGCGGTGACCCAGCCCAGGCTTCCCTGAGCTGGCAGGGCTATCACCCCGGAGCCCCAGGACGTTGGGCTCTCCCGGACATCCCACCCAGTGTAACCCAGGTCCCGACCTTGGCCTCCTCTAGACACCCTGGCCTCCCTCCCCCTAGCGTAGGTGGCAAAAGCCACCTGGGTCACTTTTTTCCAGGACTCCTAGCATCACACTCGGGAAGTCTGGGGTCTCCATAATCAGAGAGGAAATTTCTCCTTGCCATCCCTCTTTTCCCCTTTGTTCCCAGCCTCCAGCCTCTCCTCTTGCACTGGGGTCTCAGGTCTTCTACATTCAGTCCACCTTCACTTGTCTATCTTGTGCTCTTGCCCACCCCTCTGCTCACCCCGACCCACCAGCCCCTGACCTTCCTGACCAGGAGGAGGAACTGTGGCCTGGCCCTAGGCTGGACCTACCTAGTACTCCCCCACCCTCTGGTAGGATGACTGCAGGGCCCCCAAAGTGCTGCTCAGCGCCCTCAGTCCACAGTTGCTCTCAATGGAGTATTTATTTCTTTGTGTCCTTTCTTGCTGCCATGACCACTCCAATCCAGCTCTATTTATCTGCATTTTCCAGGCACAGTCTCCATCAACAAGGTGCTAGCCTGTAATTGGTCACACAATCCTCCTTACAGCACTGAACCTCAGTATTTTCAAGAAAGTTTACTTTTACATCAATCAGACTCACATTTAAAAGCCTCTAATCTTCCCTGCATCAGCTTAATAAACTCTGAATTTCCTGCTTTTATCACCACTCCATTGGGAACTTACTTCTCTGCAAATACTTATTCTTCCATTGTTTTCTCTGCCCAGTGTGCTCTTCAGGTAATGCTCTTGATCGCTTTGGTGACCGCTCACACGGGAAAACACAGCTAACTAAACGTGGCGGTTTGAGCCTCGCCTGGGTAGCAGAATCTCCAAGTTTCTGGAGAACAACCTTAGACAATGTCTCGCTTAAACCCAGCCTTTGCCAGGCAAAACTGAGCTTAAAGTCACTCCATATGGAGACTTACAATATGTGCAGTATGATAGCCCAAAACTTTTCTGTCTCTGGGAATTCCTTTTCTGCCTCAGTTTCACAGAGCTATGCAAATTATTAGATAACGCTCCTGAGAAAATCTCATTTTGCAATGAATCTAGCTAAATAACTCCAATTTTCCACCTATGGCCTCATTTTAGAATTGAGTTTTTACCACACAACTAGGTAGCTCCTGTTAAAAGTTCAGTTAGCATAAAATACAACACTTATAATTGTTACAGGTAATTTAATTTACAGGGAAATCCCTACCGTATTACAGAAGCTGTTTAAAGATGACCAAAAACCAGTAAAACTGATATTAACGTAACTAACCAACCGTGTATCCGACACCTCACCAGGGACACTGTAATAAGACTACAGAGCTAAGCCCTTTCCCTGGAAACCAACAGAAAAAAACAGTGCACCCCTTTGGGTGACTAGCAACTTCAGGGGAGGAAAAGCATATGTGATACAGAAATTCAGAGAAATACAGGCGTCTTGATACACAGTAACTATTTCCATCTGGGTAATTTCCCAATATTAAAAAGACACTCATAAATATGGACAAGAGGAGTTAGGTTTTTGACCTATGAATGATGAGGGAAAAGATCATTGTCATTAGGTAGGGAGATGTTTCCATTTGTAAAATACTTCAGTCTGTCAGAAGCAAACTTTCAGAGCTAAGTAATGACAAAATTATTTATTCCAAGAACCTGTTCCTCCTAATTTTAAAAAGTGAACACCCAATATTCTGGGTAAGTCATTTTCAAAAGTAAGAAGTGTTGGAAGTCTAGTCCCCTTATTCAATAGCCAGCCAGAAGGTAAAAGAAGTGTGTGCTTCTGTTTGGGAGGGGCTGGTCTAAGTTAAGGGAACCAAACCTCTAAGAACCCAGCCCTGATTATTGAAACCGGTTCTGGGCACTTGAGAGGTAAAGCAGCCCCTCATTAACCCTGCAAATCTCTTCCCTTATCTCTTAAGTTTGCTGCACCATTTCCTAAATCCCCAAGAAGGTGAATGTTCCCTTTCTTATTTATGCTAGCGTCACCTTGGCTTTCAGGAAGTAAAACATAAACGTGACAGACATTCCCACCTCTTCCCATTTTCTTTCAATAATTGCCAGCAAGTCTTCCTTCCATCCCTAATTGAGGGTGGGGGGCGAGTGGGTAGGTGAGGGATCCTGCCAGGCTCTGCTGAAGAAACCCTCAGATTCCTCTCTTTGGAAGGCACCTTGTCCTCGAGATATCAGCTACCCCGCTGGGCACATTTTTCCTTACCAGCCTCCACCTAAACTGGGATGGCAGCGATCCCTTTCCCAGTTAGGGCGTTGTCCTCTTTCAAAACAAACTCTGTATAAGGAAGGATGTACGGTGTGGCCCTTAACTCTAGGGACAAGGAAATGGGAACTCAAAGTCACAGATGCTTGCAGGAGTGGTGGATCGGCGGATAGCCAAGCAACCTCCAGAGGCCGCCACGTGAGGCCTGGTCTTGGGAAAGAACTGTCCCAGGTTGCCAAAGGGTTAAATATTTGTCGAGGGTAAAACCTGAGCCTCCTGGTTTTTTTTTTTTTTTTTTTTTGTGCTTGCCCGGGGGCCTGTTGGAGATTCAGTATCTCTTGGTTATTTCCTGCGATCACTAAAGCCAGTTTTCAAGAAAACAAGTCGCAGGGGTTTGAAATGTCACACCAAGTGACCTGGGCACTGCATATCCAGGGGCCATTCCCAGCCCCCTCGCACCCGAGCTGCCCCCGCCCCCTCTATTTCGGGTCTGGAAAGAAAATAAACCAAGGACACGCCAGACTGGTTCTGGGTGGACTTATTTTCCCCAGCAGCCTCGATCCTAGCGGGGCTTGTTGTGGCTCCTTCAGTGTATCGCTTGCAGGTGATGCCAAACGCAGATAAGGAGCCGCCGCCCGGCCTTCTCCTCTGTCTAGACGGGACAATTAATAAATGCAGCGAGATTGATCACGTTGCGCGTCCACTCTGGGGACAGTGGCCGAGGACGAGCTGTCACGGCCGCCGATCTGGCCGGGGTCAGCGCCCCTGTTCGCCCAGGAAGCCTCGGCTTGCAGAGCCAGGGCTGCAGGGAGGCACCCGGGCCTTCCAGCCTTCGCGAGGGGAGACGCGCGGGCCTAAAAGGCGGCGGGAAGTCGAGGCCCCATCCTCGGGGAGCGCCAGGCCGCGGCCAGCTCCAGGAGAGGGGCGCGCAGGCTGGAGACGAGGCTGAGCGAACCACACGCGCCCCCGCGAGCCTCACGGTAGACAGGAGTCCGTCGCGGAGCAGCCGTCAGAGCGTTGCTCGTTTCCCGCCCAAACACCGAGGCCCCACCCGCCAGCTGGCCGCGGCCTCCGCAGAGTCCCTGCGGCCGCAGGCTGGGAGCGCGCGCTGGTTTCCGGAAGCGTCTGGGAGCTCACGCGCCGCGCAGGGCGCGCGACTCGGCCCCGCCCCCGCCCACCGCGACGTCCAATCCCTGCGGGCCCCGCCCCTTTCCACGCCCCCTTCGCCGCGGGAGCACGCGGGC